GGGGGGGGGAGCTTTGTTGCTTCAGCACAGATAAGTTTTGCATCTCGTCTTGCAGTCTTTGTCTTCATTTTTGTCTCTTTCTTTCTCTGTAAGCATTTTTATTTTTGCATTTCCTCTTTGTGTGACTTTTGCTTTCTATGCCTCTCTCATTCTCTCCATCAATAATCATGACCAGATATATATATATATATGTTTGTTTGTCTTTCTATTCCTTAATTATTTCTTAATTCACCAGAAAAACTTGGGGGGAAAAAAGGGGGGGGAAAAAACCCTAAACAAGCACCCCCCCCCCTTTCCCCAAATAATAATAATTTTTTTTTCACATTTACCTGCTCATTTTCTTTTTAGCCGCCAACAAGACTTACAAACAAATACAACTCCTCCTCTACCTAAACCAACCCCTCCACCACACCCGCTAAAGAGCAAACACAAAACATTCGTTTTTCCTCTGTCCCCAGGTCGTGTCCTGCGAGCGGCCAGCAACACAATCTTCATTTTGTTGCTGATCCTGATGGCCAAGGGCTACACCATCACGCGGGGCCGCCTGCCTATATCCAGCACCATCAAAATCACCGTCTTCATGTCTGTCTACGCCGTGATCATCTCTGTACTTTTTATCTGGGAGGGGCTGGTGAGTTTGTCTGGCCCAGATGAAGGGGTCTGTTTCTTTTTAAAGATATGTTAGGCATGGTGGTGAAATCATGCGCTCGTCAAAATAATGAAATCAAAGAAAGAAATGTGCATTTTTATGGCCTTTGGGATTTTTTTTTTTTTTGGTGCTTTTTTTTGGCTCAACACTTTTTACGTTATTTAAAAACATATTTTTTGAATGAATTTTACAGAAAAATGTCGAACAAAAGCACAAAAAATGTAATTTTGTAATTTCCAAGGACCCTCAAGCTTTGGAAGTCACGAAATTTTATCAATCATTTTCTCGCTACTTTTGCCTCTGAAACCTGGTGACCCCCATCTCCTTCAAATACATATATATCTCTAATTCTACTCAAGATCGATGGGTATTTTTTAAATCAAAAGCAGTACAAATGAACAAGCTTTAAGATGATACCAATAACTCCACTCCCAAAAATTGACGAATGCCTTTCCTGAACTTCCTGGAGGTGTCATCTCTGACATGGAGGCTGACGTGCAACAACCTATCGCTGGTTCTGGTCGTTAACTGCCGTCATGCACTCTGTCATATTTACACCCTCCATACTTTGATTTTATCAGTCAATGTTTCTTTTTGTCTGCCTAGCTAAACATGCCTTGCCTCGTGCTTACATTTTCTGTTGAGAACAAAGGTGTTATTGAGAAAAATGTTTTTAATTTATTTTGTTTTTGTTTTTATTTACAGACGGCCTATCATGGGCCTCTAATGTTTTCCCCCAAACCCCCCAATTACTCACAACCCACCTCAATATCCTCCTCCCCCTCCCCCCCCTCCCACTCCCTT